AAACTTCTCAGCTCCTTCTTTGAAGTAGGGATGTGGATCCATATGCTCCTTCCTTCTGGCCGTCACTTTTTCGACAGTAAGGCAAGTCAGATTGAGTACGAAAAGCTGGACACGCCCGAATCTGGATCGCATGCAATTAAGACGACTTGAGTTTTGACTTTGAGTTGATCAATATCTTTTGATCAAGATTGATTTCGTTTTGCAGGGGCCTCGTCATAGCACGTACAACATGTACGACTAAGTTGTGGGCGAGTTTTTGGAAATCGGTTTAATTGATATGTGTCAGGACGTAAGACATGGCACCTGAATGTTTCTTGATCAGCAAGCGTGGAAGCCGAGTTTCATTAGAAGCATGTAAGGAGCACTGATGAGTTGCGGCCAAGGCCCAAATTGCAAAGAGAATCTTGCGGCTATGTATTCTCGTATTCGAACCTAATGCTTATCTCTGAATGCTTGTATCTGCGCCTGTACAAGATTAACACTCAAGATTAACACTCAGATAGCCACAAGGATATCGGTTGCGAGGCTCTGTCAGAGCTAAGCTCGATGGGCAAAATGATAGCTATAACAAGGTACCCAGCTTGAGATTCAAGAAGTACCTAATCACCAATTGGGCCAGGCGCATTTGAGGTGTTGAGCTTTACGGATAGATTTTGCTTCGTCAGCATCTCCTATTGATGAGTTCCTACACTGTGTACGACACTGTATGCATGTGACACATGTGTTGCTTATGAAAAGATGGTACAGTTTCGATGTGCCTACCTAAAACAGCTAGGCCTAGCTAGTATTAGTTGAAGTTTGAACCCATGACGTTTTGGCACAACATGTTCGATCGATTAGCAAAGCCATCTGTTTAGGGTTCGGGCTAGGGTTTAACCCTTTTGCCCACGATCGCTCAAGCACGTTCTACCGTCGATATTTCGCCTGCGGCGACCGACGGCCGTAAGAACGCCTCGGCGGGGGCCCTCCCGGGCCCCCTCCCGACCTCGTTTTTGCCCGGTTTTCCCTCCCGACCCTTAGAACGCGGCCCGTGGCGCGACCTTGCATTCCCTCCCCGGGCGGCAGGGATGGTTCATATGATATCCCCATAAGGGCTCTCTCCCAGACCATAGGGGATGGTCCCATCCATTACCGAGCTGTGGGCCGTTCCCACACAGCAAACCCTAATGCTGGCTGGTACAGTGACTGTGGTACTCGTAGTTGTAGAGAGCCAGGCACTACCCGGTACCGGCCGGCCACTTGGGCTCTTCTCGGGCCAACTGTAGTACCGGTATGCAGCTCAGGCACTATGCAGAGCAGAATTGACCATCAGTGGCGCTTGCCTCTTGCACCTCTGCCGCGCCAGCAAGCTCCTCTGCTCACATTTTTACGGATTGTATCAGGGTTCTCTCAGTGGAGTCTGACTTGGCGGTCCCTCAGCAAAATTTCCCTCAGGAGTTCTCGCTTTCATGACCGTCGTTGGTGGTTGGTTTGTGGGCAAGGTAAGCTTTGCAAAATCATTGCGCTAAATGCGTGGCTGCCCTTTTCTCCTCTCTTTGAAGACAAGCGTGGTCCCCTCTTGGTTGATTATGTCCTGTGTTCCTACCAATTAGAACATGATGGCACTTTGCATTTGCCTTTTATGATTGGATGACACATTTGGTGGTTTCTGAAGTATCCTCTGAAGTTCACCAATCAATTGCCCTTACTTCTACGAAGTTGGATTAGGCAAAGCCAGGACATTGAGGCAGACCTGAAAATGGGATCAGGGGTCAGCTCCTGGCATGCGTGCGCCACGTAACGGCTTGTTCTCTTAGTGTGTGTACTGGTCAACTGCGTCACTGCGTAACGGCTTGTTCTCTCAGAAGTGTACTGGTCAAGAACAGCGTGTTCATTGTATAAGTATTATTGTACCCGGGCTATTAGTTACAGAATCAAGGAATCAGAAGGGTTATGGCCAGGCTCCTGTGTGTACGAAGACAGACTTTTTTGAAGTACCATGAACTTGGCCTCAAGGCAGAACTTTTCAATCTTTCATCATCGATGGTAAGGTGGCAGGGTTCAGGAGTAGGTCTGGTCTCTTTCAATTGAGATCACATTCATTATTGGTACGTGGCAATCAACAAACGGCTTCATTCACCCCCACAAAGCATACTCATGTAGACGTTTCTATCACAGGGTCTGAGCGCTGGCGACCAGCAATAGAGTCTTGTCAATGACGCAGTCTGACAGAGGTATCTTGGGCACCAGTAATGGGAGTTGCGAGCAGCTGGGTTCATGCTGTCATCCCCAGAGCCAGGTAAGCGACGGGCTTGTTTGAAAACTAAGGCGATCTAAGGGACATCTGAGATGCAACTTCTTGACAGCTTCTTAAGTTAGGCGAAGATTAAGAGCCTCTTAGTAAATCAAATCCTGCGGCCTATCAGGAATTTGATCATCAGTCGAACCAGACAAATTTTTGGAGAGTATCATTGGCATTCTCTTGACGAGCCTGGTGACCTGCCGGCTTGTCAATAGGGTCTGTCAATCAGGCTTGCTTATATTGGGAGTGTGCTTCTCAAATTATATATTGGGAGGGGTCCAATCATTGAGTCCCTCAGGAAGCACCTTTTGCTAAGCTTTCAGAGTCAACTTCAAGGGTCGTCAGCCAGCTGGCCACATGCTCTGGGCTGGGCAAGTACAATTCGGACGGTTTCTTGTTAGTCCTCAGTTGCTGGCGGCCTTTCTGAAGCGTCCGCAAGAGGTCGCCGGTGTTGTGGTAGTGCAGGCTGAGGCTGGCTGTTACGACTTTCCGAACATGGTGGTTTGTCTTGTGACCTGTTCAGGTGGTGGATCCCACAAAGGGTGCGCAACTCAAGGTTCGAGAAAGAGACTCCCTCCTTCTGACCTTTGATGCTCTTCATGCAAATTCCGGATACAACCATGGGGGACTCCGCCCAACACTCCCCCAACTGCTTAAGCCTCCAACAACAGACATATGGCCTCCCAGAAGCCGTCTCCCCGCCAGAGTTCCAAGTCCTAGTGAGGAGCGCGCTTCTGCAGACTACTGTAAGGGGGCAGCGCGTCTTTCGAAGGAACGCAGGGAGCGTGTGCAGGCTGGCAAGAGAGGTGTGCGGGTCGGCAGGTCTTGACTGGTCAGAGGCTGCCTGGCATGGGTCGCTGACCGCTGCAATGAGCGGCCTGGAGGGGCTCACTAGCGTCCAAGAATCGGCCATGCTCGAGGGCTTCAGGCAAGTTATTGCCTCGGCGGCTGCGGCCCACCTTGAGGGGCTGAAGCAGCCGGGTAAGGTGCGGGCCCGCAGAGCTAAACCCCAAAGCCCAAGCCCAATCCCCCCGGGCAAGCACACCGGCAATGATTGCAACAAGCAGCTGGGGGCACGTTCAGGTAAGCCATTGGGTTGCGTCTAAGTCCTGGTCTAAGTCCTGGTCAGTCTGGTCAGGCGATGCTAGGTCATTGGGGCTGTATTGACGGGGTGGGGAATCAAGTACAGGGGAAGTAGTCAGTGAACTGGCTCTGACTGGGTGTGCCAGCATGTATTGCAGCGCCCCAATTGCATGCAGCGCTGTATTGCTTGCCAGTTTTAAAGGGCTTTTTCAAGCTTCTTCACGTGCCAAGCTTTGCCTCTTTCTCTTTTAGAGTATAAGAGGTTGTTTCTTGGTACATGCTGTCAGCTACAAAGTCCTAATTAGGCATCTCAGCTAATATGGCAGGGGTCGCCGTCCCTTCAGTGTACCAAGGTTGCCAGTTTCTTTTTAAAAGTATAAGAGGCCGAATCTTGGTACATGCTGTCAACTACAAAGTCCTAATTAGGAATCTCAGCTGATATGGCAGGGGTCGCCGTCCCTGCAGTGCACCAAGGTTGCCTGTTTCTCTTTAGAGTATAAGAGGCCGAATCTTGGTACACGCTGTCAACTACAAACTCCCAACCCCACTAGGTCAGAAGAAAGTGTGATGATTGCAAAAGGTGGGGGTGGGTTGCGGCGCACATCAAGTTTTGCATGCCTCTCTCAGTTCAGACTCCAGGTTCTTACCCAAACTCTGTCTTCTTTTTCAGACCCACATACTCTTCACTGCGACGAGTGCGCTGCCACCACAGAGTTCGGGCTACGAGGAAGCAAGGACGGGGGGAAGGTCAAGTACTTTTGCAGAGGGCATGTCGAGTCAAGTGGCTGCTTTCGTGTCGACAAAGATCGCGCAGGTAAGAGCATGTCATCATTTCGGCGCGGTCCATGTACGCGAAGCTCTGAGCTGTTCGAGCCCTTGTCCGCCTGCATCTTCAGTCTTGAGTCCATACCCTATACAGCAGTGTATCAAACACCTTCTGCGCCTCAAGTGCAGCTTGGACGCAGAATCGGGTTGAATGGCGCTTGAAGGCAGAGCTTGCTAGACTCGAAGAGGAGCTGCGGCAACTGGGAGGGGCATCGTCCACTACGGATGATTGCGGCCAGGGTTGCTGCCTGTCAGGTGAGCGTTATGATTCAGACATGCTGGCAGATTCGTCCGAGGCTGGACATGCGGCATGCGGCAGGTTTGTTCGAGCCTTGCCACGAGTCTTTTCCAGTTGCCTCTGCGGCCGACGGCTTGCTGTGATCCATCATATGACCCTGGACTCAGTGCCTCGTTTACCATTTGCAGCTTGCAACGAATCCTGGCAGAACGCGGCGCACTGGGATTCAACGCCTAAGAGCAGATCGCTTATAGGTGAGACAACCGATGGCAGCGCTAGCTCTGGAAGCATGCGGTTGGTGCATCTCAGGTGTTGACGGTTCCTTTGTTTGCACGAATCCTGCGTCCAGCAAGCAGCACTTGCCCGTGCTTCAAACGAACCGTGTTCCCTGCAGCAAAGCTTCTGGCGATCGGTTGCGTGGAAAGCAACCCCGGACCTGTGCTGGACGAGGTGACTGCAGCTTCGGGCGAGACCCGGCCACGGGATGTTGGCGGTCGGCCACCCATCCAGATTCCATCTCTTCGGGTAAGCCTTTCCCAATGTGACATGGGTGTTTTGTGACATCTGCCTTCAAGTGACTTGGCTCAATCGAGTAGCTCACAGTTCTGTTACCGAGAACGGGTTCTTTGCTGGCAGTTCATGGCAAGTGCATGCCGTTTTTCTCATGAAAGCATCATTCCCTACATTTGTGCTGCGCAGAAGGTTCATCCGGCACCATCCCAGGATCAACCTAACGTCGAGCGCATATATGCCGCCTCCTATGCGGATTGGCGGAAGAACAGTGGGCTGAGCGAGCAGGTGAGTCCTTTGCCCGAGCAATTTGAAAATGGCCGTTGCATGAGGAGGTGCAGCTTGCCGACTACGGACTATCCGTCCGGGCCTTGTTTGTTGAGAGACGGAGGTTTGCAGGGGATGTACCAAGCTCTGCCCTCTTCTCTTTAGAGTAGAACATGGCAATTCTTGGTACAGCGCAGTCAATCACAGTGACCTGCTAGAAACGGCCGGCCTTGAGAGGATGTACCAAGCTTTGCCCTCTTCTCTCTTGAGTAGTAAATGGTCGATTCTTGGTACACGTGCCATCAATTCAAGGTTCTTCAGTTCGCAACTTTTCGAGTATTCTCTTAATTGATCTGCTCTCTTCTACCCCTGTTATTGATCTTGAGCAAGCTTGTTTCCCACTTGAACGCTGCCTTTGTGCAGTGGTCTCCTGCAGTCCTATGCAAGCTTCTCATGCCGTCCCTCTTGCAGGCTGTGCCCGGCAAGCCTACGGCGGTGCCCGAGTCCGAGGGCGTCGTTGAACCTACTACCCTCGTCCCTCTTCAAGAACCACATACTGCTGGCGTCCCGGCGGAGGTAAGTAGACTACACCAGTTATATTGGTCGATTCACTTCTCAGTGAAGCCACCGACTTTGCTCGTAGAGCCTCTCGTTGTAGGAGTCCTCGAGGTAAGTCCGGTCTTTGGTATCATAATCAAGAAACGGAAGGCCCTCTTTGTCTTTGTACAGCCACCGACCTCCAAAGAAGCGTACCACGAAACCAACGGGGCCCTTCACCTCGAAACCACCTCCTTGCTTGCATTTCCAAAACATTGCCGGCCAATCGAGATTCCTTGTCCAAGCGCCGCACCTGTACTCTTGTGAAACCGCGTCGATTGCCTCTGTAACCGCACTTAGAAACATCCTTGCCGACTCGCATGCATCTCTGTGATCATCGGCAAATTTGAAGAGGTCGCTGAGCTGCTTGTCCGACAGGCCCATGTATGCTTTGGTAGCCATCAGCCCGAAATTTGCTCCTTTGGTGGCGAAGTCATTCCCCTAAGCTCATTCGGCTTCACTCCTAGCAGGTCGATGATTCCTCTGCAAGCACGACTGTTTCGAGCCTCGAGGACTCCGAGGACGTGAACCTTGGCAAGTTTGTTTCCTGGAGGAAGGCCAGAGCTGCGGAGGTCAGCGAAGCTGCATCCGGACCTACATAGATGTGCGCTGTTCCTTGCATGTCGGCCTTTGAGCAGAGGTGTCTTGTGCGGGTTTGGGGTTGCTGCAGGGTGGTTCGGAGCCGTTTCGGCTCGATGCAGACGAAGAGGCCCGCGGTATGGCCCCAAACCCGACGGCAGCTGGCGAGCAGGCGGAGGAGCTGACGCCGGTGGACAGACTGGAGGAGGAGTCGACGCTAGCAGGCAGGTTGGAGGAGGGGCCCGCGCTACCGGATGAGGTAATGTCTGCTCGGAGAAGATTGTGAGCATTGTAGGCTAGACATGGGCCGTGAACGTTACTTAGGGGAATCGAACAACCCGAGTAGAGCAAGTTATGGGGTACTCCACCAAGTTCACCGGCCGTTTTGCGCTTTCCAAGCCGCTCAGTAAGGAACAGCATGATATTCTCCAGCAAGTACAGCTGCACCGTCATATTGAGGGCTCGCTGCCCCCATACACGGTCGCTGGAGACTGTGACGTGCTGCTCGTTCATAATGAGAACCGGCGTTGCCGGTGTGATAGGTGTGAAGGGGCTGATCTGTGTCCACCGTTTCCACGGTATTGCCAGTGGATACTTTCTCCGAATGGCCGTGCTCTCATGTGGGACGGCGGGGAGAAATTCTATTGCTATCTGGCCCTGGTTGAAGTATCTGATGTCGCACTTTTTTCTGCCTTGGGGAGTGGAACTGAAGGGGACTGTCAGATGGCGCGGCAATGGGAAGAGTGATTGTGGCGTGATTGTGGTCCAGTCCAACGAGGTCTGCGCACGTGCCTTACCTTGATCAACTTCCGACGAGAACCAGACAACCAGCACCCTTCGATCTTGAAGCCTCTTGAAATTTCGGCAGTATCTCAAACCCTCTTAGAGGCCTCTAAACGTTCTTGCTTTTGTCGCGGTGGCTTTCCACTGAAGCAGCTAGCTGACGCCACCTTGTGAAGGGCCAAGAACGTAAACCAAAAGCTCTTGAACGTGCACTCAACCTTTTTCCTCACGCAGGATCCGGAAGACGCCAGCGAGAGCATCGAAGACTCATCCGGAGAGACGGAAACGGAGGAAGAGCCGGACTCCAGCGATCTGAGCGCCATGGATGATTCTGAACAATCCAATGACGATCCCAACCTGCACCGTGCCGTTGACCAGACGCGAGAGAAAGAGAAGCTGCCACGGTCTGTGAATGCTGCTCTCGCTGGCATGCGCTTAGAAACGGAGAGGAGGCGCCAACAAGAAGAAGCGTCGGGCTCTGATCGGATTCGCCAGTCTGCCGTGTCCGACTTCGACCCTGGTTCCGGGTCGGATCACAAGTGAGAGAGACTGTACGTTTTTGAGGGTGAACTATGGTTGACTGCGCTGTACCAAGAATTGCATTTTACTCTTCTAGAAAGACACAGGCGAAACTTTGTACATGACTGCAGGAACGACCATGCCTGTGAGTTTCCGAAATATGTTTTGTAGTTGACTTTGCTGTACCAGGATTCGCTCTGTACTTTTCTAAAGAGAGACAAGCAAACTTTGGTACATCACTGCAGGAACGGGCATGCTCAAGTGTGAGTTTCTGCTCGGGCACTGTCATGGATTGGGTTGTACCAAGATTCGCCCTTTTCTTTTCTAAAGAGAAACTCGCAAACTTTGGGACGTCACCAGTTGCAGACCCCCCATGCATGTGTGTTTTCGAAGAATCTAGCTTTTCTAGTTGACTGCGTTGTACCAAGAATCGCCCTTTACTCTTCTAACCTGGAGAAACAAGTGAATCTTCGTAGAACACTGTAGAAACGCCCATGCCTGTGAGCTTTCGAAACGGTAGCTTTTGCAGTTGACTGCGTTGTACCAAGAAGCTTCACTTTTTCGAAGAGAAACAGGTGAACTTGCTACAGGCACCGTTTTGTGGTATGCCATCGGACCGTTTTTGCCAGACTTTGGACACGAAGACTTATAGTTTGTTACCCGCAGAGGGCATTGATCTGAATATTGTGTGTTCCTTTTTATTCAGGGAGCAAGGCGCCGCTCATGGGCTGTCCCAAGGCTTCACCGCTGTGCCGGAGCCGGAGATCCGCTCGGAGCCTCTGACCGGGAATGAGGTGTTCAAAAAGGACGAGTTCCGTGTTCTGCGAGTGCACGAATTCGGCACCAATTGCTTCCATCAAGCTGGAAAGAACTTGAGCCGTTTTCGTAAGCACTTCATGCAACAAGAGGCCGCCCTGCTCAACCATGGAGTGCAAGTGGCCCTCCACAAGTTCTCTGGCAACCGTACCGAAGCAGGGGTTCCAATCGCTTGGCGCAGCTTCGCCTCCTATCCTAATTGGGAGACAGCCCAGGGAAACCTCGAAGGCCACGGCTCTGTCTTTGAGGTCATCCAAAACGGGAGGCCGTGCAAGCCCTACTTAGATCTGGACGGCAAGGACGGGCTCCCCTTAAAGTGCAAGTCGAAGCAACCCGCTGCGGCCTCAGCCGGAACAGGGAAAGCCCAGGTGAAACTCCTGAAACGGGGCCCAGCACTCAGGCCGGGGAAGCCGCGGGCAGTGTAGAGGAACATGGGAAAGGCGGTGAGGGGCGGTTCAGGCGCGAGGAGGTGATTGAGATTATCGAGCGATGGGCAGTGGTCGTCTTCAAGGATTCATATGCCCTGGACTTAGAGCCAAGCAGCTTTGTCTGGTTAGAGAGTGGGGGGCAGACCAAGTTCAGCCTCCACCTAACAATCAACCAGCTTCTGCCCCGCCAGTTGGTCTTCCCATCGAATTCCGAGAATGGCGCATCACACTTTGCCACACACCTCAAGCAGAGGCTACAACCCTGGCACCCCACTATTGCCCCCCTCATCGACTTGAACGTGTACTCAAAGGATCGGGAGTGGCGCACACCGGGAAGCGCCAAGGTCGAGAAACCGAAGAGCGTCCTGAGATTCCTGAAGCCTGCCCACACCTGGAGAGACGGGCTGGTGACTTGGCTGCAATCTCTCGAGGTAAGCTGTGTGGTTCCTGTCCTGGGGTTCGTTTGTGCTCCAACCGCTGCCAGTGAAGGGCTTTTCTAACCCTCTTTCCTTGTTTGAAGTGACAACTTCTCTCGTGCCCTGAAGCGTCATCAACGTGTTGGGTCGCTTTTCAGTCAACGAACAAAACAAGCCTGGTAACCAGATTGTAAACCCTCTAGTATGCAATTTCGACCAGTCGATTTTGCTGCTAACCAATCCGCAAACCAGCTTTTTTGGTTGCTAACCAGCCTGCTCACTCTTCGTTTTGCTGCTAACCAGCCTCCTAACCAGCTGGTTTGCTGCTAACCAGTCCGCAAACCAGCTTTTTTAGTTGCTAACCAGCCTGCTACTTCTTCGTTTTGCTGCTAACCAGCCTCCTAACCAGCCGGTTTGCTGCTAACCAGCCTCCTAAGTCTTCGTTTTGCTGTCAACCAGCTTCCTAACCAGCTGGTTTGTGCCAACCAGCTTCTCAGCCATTGTTCTTTCTTATTGTCGGGAGGATTTGCTTCTAATCCACCTGTTGTACCAGACACATCGGTTCGCTGTTTACAGTCGCTTTACTGACTTTGCTTTCACTGGGCCCAGGGCCCAGTTTTCCTTTCAACCTATCTTTGTGAGGAGGTGGCCTTTTCTGATCACTTCAGCTCCTGAAAGAGCTCCCTTTCCTCTGTGCGCCTGTATGCTACTATTGCTGATCATGTGTTGTCGAACTGTGCTGCAGGCTTGCGAGGAGATCAAACTGCCGTTCCAGCTGCCTAAAAATATGCATCGGGGGTTCAGAACCCCTCAGCACATGACCCGCGAGGGGACCGGGCGAACTCCACAGAATGGGGCTTTCGTTAGAGCCCGCATGCTGCAGTTGCTCAGAGAGCGGCTGCACCCCACTGCCTACGAGGAGGGCCCCGATCGGTTCAACTACTTTGATCGCTTAGAGCCTTGCTACACCGATCGCATCCACGAGAACCATCAGAACCTCACCTGTCATCTGACCCCAAATAGCAAGATATATGCCCTATGTTTCTGCACCAACGTCGAAGGCGGGGGGTCAGAGTCACCCTGCCGGACCAAGGCCTTCTACCTCGGGGACCTGTTCGAGGACGACATCACCTACGACTCTGGGGCCGTCTGTGTGGACATGCAGTATCTCCAGCGGGACCCCCAGGCATCCAGCCCCGAGCTTCTGAGCGAAGTGGCCCGGGGTCAGGCGCAGGCCACAAATGCTTTCAAGCTCAACACTGTGGCTAACGAGTAGGTATTTGTTTGACTTTGTGTCTTCACTTGAGCACGAGACTACCTGACTCAAATGCTGATTTTGTACATTCGTATTGAGGATCTTGTCTTTAAGAGAAGAACGGCTGACTTGTGGTACATGTCTGTGCACTCTTGGCACGAGGACGATCTGCATTTCCATCCATCGTGACAAGATTGTAGGACTTGGTGTACACTTGCTGATCCAATCCGTTAAGCCTGTGCACTGAAAGGTCCCGCAGTTTGAAATCGTTTTCGCTGCATGCTTATCCACTCTTATACAGGTTGGAAACATACCTTGCCTGCAAGTTGAGCAAATGCGCGCTTTCTCCCCCTTGCATGTTTTCGAAAAGCATCGGAATCAGTCGCCGTGTGTTCTGATCTTGAAGAAGAAGAAGAACTTCCCCTCAGTGCTCCGGCTACAGGGAGATTCGAGTGTGCTTTGGGCCCCTTTCATTTCATTCTAGACTGAGGAGAGCTGCCGTGTATAATCTGACGAACTCTATGGTACTTGCAGGTGGCTTGCGGGGGCTTTTCAGCTGCTTGCCATCCGCTCTGCGGTTAACACGGGCAAGACGGAGTTTTGCAGTAGGGTAGTCGAGGAGATCTTTTGCCAAGTCAATGGCCGCCTGCTCAAGATACTCATGATCACATATCGGGTTGCGCAAAGCCAAAGATCTGAAGAAGCGCTTTCCGGGTGCTGCAAACTACCTCGATCTGAAAGCAGACTACAACGACGAGTTGTTCCCTGATCCCGACGACCCCAACGACTTCCAAACTGCGCTTCAAAACCGGGGCAAGTTCCCCTGGGTAGTAGTTCAGGTGGACAGCCTCCTCGGCTTGCGTCCGCACGGGATCGGCGAGGTCGCCCCTTTCGACCTCGTCATTCTGGACGAGGCCGCCAGCATTCTGGCGCATCTGTCTTCTGCGACCTTGCGGTGCGGCCTGGAAACCGGCGAGCTGTTCCTCGAGATCGTGCAGAAGGCCAAGCGCGTCCTGGCGATGGACGACGGCTACGGCCAACGCGAGCACGACTTCTTCCAGCTGGCAAGGGTACCAGGGAAGCTCGTAATCAACATGCGACGGGCTCAGGTGGGTTCTCTTGCTCCATGTAGGTCTGCCCTCGATTCGAGCATGCTTTGAGTCTTCGTTCGAATTCTGGGTTGCATCCTTGCTGTTCCCACGCATTTGGTTCGACTGCCCTGATATGGGTCGAGACCTGCATATGTAAAGTTGCTTGGTTGCGCCTCGCTTCGTTTTGGTGCTGTGTTAGCATCCGTACAATGTGCATTGGTGTTCTGTAGAGCTTCAATGAATCACAACTTGCAAGGAGCAGCCTGCCTCGGTGACAATGATTGATGTTATTGATATATCCATTGTTCACTCGTTCTGAACCTTGACTTGAATTGCGCTGCAGGTGCCTCTCACGTTTCAGGTCGGTAAAGACGAAGTGCGATGGCTGGATCGTATCGTTGACGATTTGTCGGCCAATAAGAACGTTGTTGTTGTCAGTATGTCGGCCCGCATCTTGGATAGGATTCGTGATCGGGTTACGAGTCAGGGAGTCCAGGACACTCTGGGGCTCGACCCGGATCGGAACATCCTGATTCATAGAGCAATGAGCGGGGGGGACAACGTTGAGCTCTACTCGAGAACGTAAGGGTCAACTGGAAGGTTCGACTGCTGATGTACAGCCCTTCAGTCGAGGCGGGGGTGAACTTCGACGAGGCTTGGTTTCACAGCAAGTACCTATACATGTGCAAGAAGAGCACGACAGCTCGGGCTGTTTGGCAGGCTTCATTGAGGGTCCGCCAGACGAAAAGCCCCGTAGTGCACTGCTTCGTGCAGTCAGGCATCTCTGTGCGGCTCGACGGTGCCCGCGTGGTCCCGTTGGCACATGCAGAAGGGCTGGTAAGTGATCCTTCTGTCGTGGTTGCTCTAGACAGGCTAGTAAGTCCGCTCGTGCATTGACTTCGCGTCTCCATGACAGAGTAAGCGATCAATGTTGACTCGATTGTGAACTTGCGTTGTCTCGCCTGTCGACACTGCACATTTGCTATATCCAAGCAGGATTGAACGTCGGATTATCGATGTTAGATGTGCCTTTTGAAGCCCCCTTTCACGTGGACTCTATGCTGAAGTTCTAACCCCTGAGCTGCTTCGATCCATTTGATGCAGGAGAGCGCTGCGGCGTCACCAACACAGTCAGAGCTGGATCAGGACGCGGAGGATGACGTGAGTCCCGAGGTACGTGCCAGCTTGCTATGCTTCTGGTTTGTTAAAGAATGCTTTTGGATTGCTTCTGATAGGGTTTCTTTCCGAGCAGGTCGGGAGTAATGGTTTAGTCTCTATTGATCCATTTCGATGTTCATCATGAAAGTGTTACAGGTAGTGTTGTACCAAGATTTGCCTTTTACTTTTCTAGACAGAAACAGGCGATTCTCGGTCACTGCAGGAACGGCCATGCCTATGGTTTGTGGGGCGGCTAGCTTCAGTGGTTTGTTGGGCGGCTAGCTTTTGTGATTGACAGCATGTACCAAGGTTTGCCTTTTACTTTTTTAGAGAGAAACTGGCGAATCTCGGTACATCACTGCAGGAACGGCTATGCCTAGCTTCTGTAATTGATTGCGTGGTACCAAGAATCGCCTTTTACTATTCTAAAGAGAGACAAGCAAAATCTGGTACACGTTCTTCAGTAGAACAGCCTGGTTACCTCAAGCGATTACATTTGATTCATACCACCGTCAACCGCCTTCTGACATTGAAACTTAAAACCTCATTCTTCAGGCGCAGTCAGACGACGACGACAGAGAGCGACTTGACGAGCAAGTGGCCAGTGGGGTACCTCTGGAAGTGCCTCGTCGTGCCAAGCTGGCAGCTACAAATCGTCACGGTTCTCGTTGCAAGAAGGGAAAGGGCAAGGTGAGATTCCTTGTTTGCAAAGTGTTCTTCGTAGAGAAGCCCGCGCGACTTTGACCTCTAGGCTACTTCGATGGCCTACCGAAATTAGGGTAAGCTTGTGAAAGCCACGAGCTGCTGGCATCAAAAGGGCACACCACAAAAGCCAAAGTAATCTGGTGTGATTAGCTTGTTTGATTGAGATCTATACGCATGTGGTTCCTGCAGGTTCACTCTTGGCTTCACATCATTGCCTGCAATGATTTGCTGCACTCCAAGTCAACCTTGCTTGGGCGAGGCCTGAATATTGCTTTGTCGATCATGCAGGGTGGGCAGCCTGGGTTGTTTCCTCCACCGCTGCGTGTGACAACAGCGGAGACACTCCAGTTTCTCCAAGCTTGTAGCCTTCGCACAACGGTCGCCTGGCGCCGGGTACCCTCTCGCTTTGAGAGTGGGAGGGGAACGGTCCGATTGGTCGAGGACGGGCCTCTCTTTCGTACGCTGGGGCACACAGAAGCTGAGCGGCGCAACTCGGATGCCGGCTTGCTGCAGGAATTCCAGATGCAGGTCGCGAAAGCTGGGCACGTGGTGAACGTCGAGCCGTACATTGAGCCCGCTCAGAAGGTACGGCGGTCAGGGGGGCTGACTCAAGAAGCATACGATGTCATCGGCGCAAGGACGCTCGGGTTTGCAGAGTACAAGGAGCTGGCCAGCCTCAGGAACGTTGGCAGAGATAGGGGGACGCAGCGCGTTGATGTGACGGCGGGGCTAGCTAGCACGCCGTTGGACTGAATACACTTACGGCTGTCAGTCTGCTTACACATGTGCGGAAACCATGGGCAAGCTTTGCAGCCAACAGACAAGGAAGACACGTGAGAGCGCCTCTTTGTAAAAGTGTTGCTTGATGCTTCCAAGTTCTGTCTGCTGTGTTTCCACTCACGGAGAGGCTGG